CGCGGATGCGTCGGCTGCCTGTTCTTCGATAACGGAAATTATCCACGTCGGAATGGAGAAATACATCCCTCACACAGTGAAAGTGCGCAAATCAGGGTCCAACGGCTGGTTTAACAAAACGTGTGACACTGCTCGCCAGCAGGAGATCAAGGCACACAGAATCTTCTTACAAATCCCACGGTAGAGAACAGATAAGCCGACGTCGAGTCCAGAAGCAAATATAACGAAGCGATTCGCAATGCCAAAAACCAGCACGCTATAAAAGTTAGGCACAGGGTAATGTCGCAGCGCAATGGCAGTCGGTCTTTCTGGACGCTGGCCAAGCAGATTGAAAATAATGTCTCTTCTCTTCCACCACTTACGTGTCAGGAAGAAACGATTGTATTCGAGTCAAAGGCCAAGGCGGAAGTGCTAGTCAAGATCTTTGCTGCCAACTCCACCATAGACGTCCCCGCCAACGCCCAAGTGTTGTCAATTCAAAGGATTCTCTACACTATGCGAGAGGTAACATTCTAGCATAAGACCGTAAGACGAGTGCTCTTGTCGCTCAAAGCTTCTGGTCCGGACTTGATTTCCGCCATAGTACTGAAGTACAGCGGAGCTTGCTCCAGCTCTTTCGCGTCTCTTCCAGATATCTTATGAATCCGGCACCTTCCTAGAAAACTAGAAATTTGCTCATGTCCAACCCATTCCAAAAAAAAAGGATCTAAGACCGACCCTTACAACTACAGGCCTATAGCTCTGCTTTCTGTTATAAATAAGGTGATGGAGAGGTGTATAAATCGCGAGCTTCTGGACTACCTTGAACGTCACAGCTTGATTAGCGACAGGCAGTATGGTTTCCGGCACCAACGATCCACAGGGGACCTCCTAGCTTACGTCACCCAATTGTGGAGTAAGCTCATCCAGTCTTATGGTGAGGCTCATGTCGTTGCTCTTGACATCGCAAAAGTGTTCGATCAGCTGTGGCACGCTGCCCTCTTGAGCAAACTTCCAGCCTATGGCCTGCCAGAAAAGCTTTGCAGATGGGTGGCTAACTTTATCTCCGGCCGCAAGATATCCGTCGTAATTGACGGATGCTCCTCTTCATCCCACAAAGTCAACGCGGGTGTTCCCCAGGGATCGATCTTGGCTCCGACACCTGTTTCTATTACATGCAGGAATTCAGAGTGACAAGCCGATCTCTGCCGCTGAGCTGGAAAAAAGAAGTCTAGCGACGACTTCATCTCTGACAAGAGACCTGGAGGCTATCCCTGCTTGGCGATTCAACAATCTTGAAGAGTTAAATGCTTCCAGAACACAGTACTGTACTTTGACGAACAAAAAGCGTCCTAGCGCTCATCCGGTTTCGATGGATGGCCGAGTTCTGCCAAAGAGTCAGTCATTTCGGCTGGTCGGAGTCCGGATCACGAGAATCGTATTAACAAAATTTCTTTGGGATCATCCTAGCAGCCGCGGTGTTCCGACATTTAGGCTTCTGCCTGCGCGGCTGCTTCGATATAAAAAAAATTGGTGTAGATATCACATACTCGATAAACTAAATGAGGACTATACAGGGTGACTCCAATACCCAAACGAAGAATTGTGCTACCAACAAACACATGTATGTTGTAGGGACTCCATAGTAGTACATCTTTTCGGCATAGCTTTGGAAAAATCAGTGTTGATATAACCAGTTTTCTAGCATATCGGCGATTTGAGCCCTCTACCGAACTGACCGACTGTAATTTCACGATATTCGAATCTGAATTTGAAGCTAACCTCAGGGATATCGTGGACTGCACTACGCAATGGATGACCAACATGCAAGCACATCGAAACTATTGTACACAATGGCGTAATGTAGTTTTCACGAGTATCCATTACGTTTTGACGTCTAGTGATTGGGCCATTGTTTATTAATGAAAATTTGAATGGAGACATTTATTTGGATATGTTGGAAAATACCATCAATCCGCTTATCACTGAAACAATTTAAAACCAAATCGAAGGGAATGGAAACCCTATACATGATGAGGCTGAAATATATTTCCAGCAAGACTATATTCTTCCGGTTCGACAATGGCTAGACGACGAGTTTCCAGATAAATGGACACGGTGAAGAGGCAGGGGCGTAGCTATCCTAGGGCAAACCGGGGCAGTGCCCCGAGGCCCCGTCTTATAGGTGGCCCCGGCCATGCGCCTCAAAAAAATTGTTTTTAAGCGCCGATCAGCAATAAATTCATTAAGTGCTAATATAACCTAGGTGTACTAGAAATAAAAATAAATAATAAATATAATGATAAATAATGTTTATTTTTTGAAACGCTACATATTTGAGGAAAACGCTTGCGTTCCTAAATGTATTTAGCTATAATCCGTCGGACCGCGAAGGGCTTGGCAACACCGCCTTAATATTACGTCTCGTCTTTGGGGATTCCCCGATCTACTGTTTTGATGATGTTAACTACCCAGCGTGCCCTATGTGATATTGATATGTGTCGTAGTCGTGCCGTGGTGCCAGGCGTGGTGTAAAATAACACTACTATATTTGTATTGTGACTATTGTGTCTCGTTATAATAAGGTACCTATTAGAAAAAAAGGTAAGTGTAAGTTATATTACTTAATGAATAAATGGCTCGATTTTGATTTGTGCGTAATTTTGTTTGTAAACGTACATTTGTCCATTACCTTGCTGAGTAAAGGCGCCCGCAGAATTTCCGTAACGTAAGACTTAAGAGTTAAGTTTCATTTAAGACAGATTAAGACTTAACCGCAAGGAATTATACAGAATTCTGATCAGGTGTTTTATAAAGTATAGTCAAGACTTGAGCCTTAAGGCATGAGAAATTACGTTACAGCTTAAGGCTTAAGTCTGGGTCTTATGTTACGGAAACTCTGTGGGCACCTTAAACCCGACACTAAATTCGAAAAGCTTCTTAAAGACTAAAAATGATCTATTGACTGTTTGAAAAATATCGACTAATTTTTTTCTCTTAATATATATATATATATGGAACAAATTGTTAGAAATTTTCGATGCGGCACCACTTAATATTAATATTAAGAGCTGTTACTTTTACAGGATTTTTTTCGTCATTTCTAACAATATTTTCGACGTACTACAGTCTAATTGATACACAACTATCGAACAATTTAATGCATTTAAAAATGGTTGTGTATTCTTCTCTTTGCAGAATTAGCAGATTGCGGAACAAAACGCAACAAAAATAAAAATGGAAGATAAGCGGAAATATCAGTCTGGAGCACAGAAACGAAAATTGAAATTAGAAAAAGAGGAAAAATTAAAAAAGCATGCTGAAAAAGAACAAGTAACTATGCAAAATATATATTCTTTTTTTGGTTTAAGTATTGATAGATGGGATCTTTTAGCTTCTTTTACCAGTGAATCCAGAACAACTTTAAAAACATTAAATCCAACTCGTTGGTCAGGAAGGATATTGTCTAAATTTTTTTAATGTTGTTATGAACCATGTTCTGACAGGTTTCTAATAGATTTAGGAGCATGAAAAAAATTAATAAATTGTTTGATTTACTTCTTCCAAAAATTATATTGCGATGAAACATCCATTAAAAATAAGTGTACAGCCATTTATAACAAATGTCCTGAAATATTTGATTTAAATAATTTAATATTTCAGTATACCAATTTGTTAAATGTTTGTAAAAGAGTCCTCAAGAATGATCTATCAATTAAGGAATATTTCAATATAATTTTAAGTAAGTATGGGGTACTTGAAAGCGACTTAAGTGAAGTTCACTTAATGTTCCTTTTATTTTTTACGTTGCTTGTAACTACTGCATTTGTTGAAAGATCATTTAACAAGCTAAAACTTGTAAAAAACTATCTTAGGTCTACTACAGGCCGGATTAAAATAAGCGATCTTGCTTTGCACTCTATAGAGAATGGAGAAGCCCAAAACCTTGATATAAATGATATTATCAACGAATTTGCAAATAGAAAAGCAAGAAAATCTGATTTTTAATTTTATTATTGTTTAATTTTTGACTTTTGTTATTTCATTATTTTAATTTGTGTTACTTTTTGTTTTTATGACAATAAACAATTTTTTTATTATAACATGATATTTTTTATTCTTAAACATACTCATGAGGGCCCCCAAAAAATGTTTGCCCCGGGGCCCCATGACTTCTAGCTACGCCTATAGAGTGGCCTGCCAGATCTCCTGATTTCATGCCATTAGACTGTTTCTACGGGGCCATTTAAAATCTATTGTGTTTAATCTCCAACGTGAAAGTTTGAATGAACTTCGTCGACGCGTCATCGAAGGCTGCCATGATATCACACAACATGTTTTTGAAAATGTCACTCAGGAATTTGAACATCGCCTATATCATTGTTTGGCCAATAACGGGCAACACTTATTGAAATAAAAGATGATATTTTCGTGTGTTTTTGTTTTCTATCCGAATTGAGAAAAATGGAGATTTTTCTAATTTTCTTGAAAACGAATCGACCGATTTCAAAAAGTCAAACGTCAAAATAAAGGACTTTGACAGACCTTTCAAACAAGCTATTACTCGATATCCCTTGTCGTTTAAAATTTGTAAGGGGTGACCCTGGGGGCAGAGGGTTTAATGGGGGTGAAGTAGTTTTTGGTTAAAAAATTGTCCCCCTTGACAAATCTGTGCGTGTCTCGATAAATCCGTGGTCAAATGAACATGAACAATATTATACGAAAACCATATCTTACAATTAATTGTATTTGAAAAAATACTTGCGAAAGACTCAATAATTTTTATGTTCTGAAAATTTTCATGTGTCTCCCTGATGCTATCAAAAGATATTCAACCGTGAAATCAAAAACTTTCACCTATACCTTGTGTAAGTTCCACAATTCACCTTTTGAAGATCCACATATCCACTTATGTTATAGTTTAGTTTTAAGCTAGCTTTGTCATTAAGAATGATTGAATTCATCAGATAATGAAGCAAATCTATATATCTATCAAATGAAGCACAAAATACCCTGCTCACCAACATTCTCCTTATTAGAGTCCAACTCCTTGGGCGTGATCGAGATGTGGCTGTGCTTCTTGAGATCCTCAGCAGAGGCTGGTACCAACATCTGCTTCTCGCCTGCAGGCAGTACTCTTACCAATACTGGAATCCCAGTTACCGGACGCAACAGTGCAAAGGGCGTTTGGTTCGATGCCAGTGCAAGACGCATTGCATCGGTTTTGATAGGATCCACGATTATTGCGTTCATGTGACTGAAATCATTTACAAAGATATTCTAACGTAGCTTCAGTATTTTACATAAAGCGGTCTAGGATACAGAAAATCTGGGAAAATATACCCTGATAGCACCAAATATTCGTTGAATATTTATTCAATATTTCATAATATTTTTATCTTACTTAAATATTTATCTTAAACAAACAGTTAATTAATATTTTGAATATAGTATTTTGATTAAATATTTATTTAATATCTTTCAAATATTATATATACAATATTTCTTTTCTAATGTTCGTTAAATATTTACTTTTCAATCAATGGAAAATATGAAATCTCTCTATTTAGAAAATATTCTAGGCTACAGCGGATGTGCGTGTGACCCCGAGCGACCAATGGCAAGCCGACCTGAGCCGACCCGTTTGCAAGCATCCATTTTGCCTGTGAGTTTCACTATTTCAGCGTGCTTCCTGTGTACCTGTGTACCAAGTGGTACATTATTTGACTGTTTTATTGTGGAAAAGAGAAAAACGTAAGTATAATTAATCTGACTAGTAAACATTATTGTGCCAGTTGAGTATAAAGGTATCAAGAAGACCATAAATAAATATCCTTCAAGAATAACAGTTATTTGGGATCGGTGGATTCATCTGAAAACGGATACATCCCCGATAGCACGAAATATTCATTGAATATTCATTTAATATTTAATCATATTTTGATCTTCCTTAAATATTTGTTTTCTTAAACAAATATTTAATAAATATTTCTAATATAATATTTTTATTCAATATTTATTCAATATCTTTTATATATTTATCAAAATATAAAAGTGGTATTTAAAAATCTTTCCTTATATATTTTCTAAATATTTGGAAAAAATATCGCAAAAATATATGAATTATATATACTACAAATATCTATAATGAATATTTTATGAATATATAAAAAACATATTTATTAAATATTAAATTATCTGTCGCTACAAATATTTAACAAACGTTTTTTTTTTAAATATTTAATAAGTACTTAATGGGGATAATTTCTACGGCATTTTTATTTTCAGCACAGTGGGGTTTTAGGGTTACTTTGTCTCTATGGGAGTGTTTAAAGGTCACTTCATGGTCATATTAAGGACATAAAAAGCCGAGTAGCTGGTCCCAACAGGATGCTTCTTAAGTGTGTTGCTTAGTTAGTTAGCGGTCAATTAGTCATTATAAGGCTTGTTGGCAACTAGCAAAGATATTTTATAATGTTCAACTGTTTATGCTATTTTATTTCATAATTGCTGTATTCCTTCTCGTAGAACGCAATTATGTTTCAATAAAATTGCTAGTAAGACAATTGAGCTTTTATGAAATATTCTGCTTTATACGGTAGTCATAAGACTGTTCTTAGAGCAAAAATACAAAACACTTTACGACAAATTTTAATATTGTCTTATAAATGTTTACACAACAATTTTATACGACATTTAAGCTTACTGAACCAATTTGTTCCATGACAGACTTATACTGGTATTATCTAATACGAGTTTATTCGTTTGCGAACATCACTAAGACTGTTTTATTAGCGCTATGTGAAACCTTTATAAAATTTATTTATAAATATTTTCTCTCTGATATTATCGCTCGCATATTGCACTGAGATGGAACTTCAAAGAATTATATAATTATAATAAAATAAAATAAAATGTTTGTGAAGATACAAAAGCATATATAAATAATAATGAATAACATTTATAAACTACATTTACAAAAATTAATAAGGCATTCTGGAATGCATTTGAATTTTTTTAATCATAAAACATCGTACGGTTAAGCATTGAAATTCACATTCTTGCCTTAACTTAACAGACCTTAGACAGTTGAAAATTATAGAATACCTTTCCTATTTGGGTATCATGTAAAAAAACTTATAAAATGTTTTTAGGGTGCAAACAGTCATTCCACGTTTGCTCACTAGGATCGTTGTGAGCGTCCATCTATGGAGAAATGGCTAAACTACGCCCATTGTTGGTTGCATATGTTCTGTGAAGCCGCGTGGTCTGTAGTATACATCGATGAGAAGGAACTTGGTTTAATAGCAACATCGCATTTGTGTAAACTCAGTGTTATTTTCCGTGTGAGAAAATCATTACTAAATATGCTGCCAATGAAGTATATCTATTGGGTGTACCCGAAGGGCTATTTGTGTTGTCCTTTATGAAGAGAGATTATGTTCAAAGTTATAAATTACGATTTTTTACATTTTTTTTGTGTGTTCAAAAACTTTGAGAAGAATTACGGGAAATCACCACCGAGCTCGCGTAGTGTGTACTCTAAGAGTAGTAATAAAGCAATTATAAAATGAAATAACACGGACAGACGAGAATTATAAAACATATTTGCTAGGTGGGAGATTGAACAGAATTTGTGTGTCGCGATCTTGATAGCTCGAAATATTCATTAAATATTTATTCAATATTTAATAATATTTTTATCTTACTTAAATATTTGTTTTCTTAGACAAATATTAAATAAATATTTGTAATAAAATGTTTCTATTAAATATTTATTTAATATCTTTTAAATATGTTAAATACAATATTTCTTCCATAATATTCATTAAACATTTACTTTTCATTCAATGGAAAATATTAAATCTCCAATATTCATTAAATATTTTCGGCTTAGGCGCGACCAATGGTATAATAGCAAGTCGACCTGAGGCGACCCGTTTGCCGGCATCCATTTTGCCTGTGACTTTCACTATGATAGCGTGCTTCCTGTGTACCTCCAAGTGGTTCATTATTTGAGTGTTTTTTTGTGGGAGAGGGAAAAGATTAAGTTTTTCGATAATTGCATAGCTTAATCTATCAGACTAGTAAACATTATTGTGCCAGTTGAGTATACAGGTATTCACAAGACCATAAATAACTAGCCTTGAAGTGTAACAGTTATTTGGTATTGGTCGATTTATCTGAGAATGGATTCGAAAATTATGTTCATAACATCCCAATGAAAAGTCGCAACTTTATCAAGATTTAAAATGCTTTTTTTAAAGCTCTTAATTATTATTATTATTTTTAACTACTTTAAAATTTTTAAGTTCAACAGTGACGTTCAAAAATTTTAACTGTCGAGAATACTGTATTTTTGTCCTTTTAATTATAATATAAAATCACAAAATAGTTATGGTGATCTATTTTCAAAAACCCTTTCTTCAAAAGTTAGTCAAAGGGTCAAGTTGTGTCCATGGACATTTTTCATCAAGATATCCGGAAAAACATCAAATTTTCTTAAAAACTAACCAAATCTCGAACTATCATAGGCAGAAATTGTGGGGTCCTTTTAGGTGAATTACAGACCTGCTTTTCAGTGACCCAGTTGAGCTACTCGGAGTAACACACCATGCTGAGCACCAATATTGTTCCACTGCATTTTGTATTCCCATAAATACACTGGAAAGCAGCTTATGTATTCAATGATACTTCACAATTAGTAAGTTTTTTTCAGAGGAGTGGACTTGCAAGATGCAGAAGTGTTTTCGTCAGTAATATTTTTTTAGCAAATTAAACTATTATATCTGTATCTAGAATTAATGTTCTTCATAAACCCAATTTTATAGTATAGGAGCTAGCAACGTTTTCGAGAAAGAATTTCAGGTCAGATGATTTTTTAATATGTTGTCCTTCTTCCTCTTTTGGGTAGAGCCTAGGCTATCTGGCTGGCGGTAGCGGTTGCGTTCATTGGTGCGCATCCTACCTGTACAGGTAATAATCCAAGGTTTTGAAAGTATTTCAAGAAGCTAAATTTTTAATTTCTTATCTTTAGATAGGTTTACCAAACACTATTTTTTTATTGCCAGACACTTTTATCATTGCCAATGATATGCCATACGCGATCTTTTTTTTTTTTTTTAAATTTCAAATCATTATAGTACGTCTGTCATTTTAATATTACATTATTTGAATATATAAAAACCTAAAATTAATTTGCCAAACATTAATTCGATTGCTAAACCTTGAAACATCTTCTCAATTTTATGTATTTAAGAAAAAGTTGAAAATATGTTCCAGTTGCTCGGACGGGTATCAAATTGCAAGTAATGCTAGTTTATATCAGAATTAGGATAAAAAAAGATAAAAAACCCAGAAAACCATTTAATTTTGACTGATTTTGGGATAAAAAGGCCAAAACAAGTCAAATTTTAACCGAAAACTATCCAAATAGAAGAGATTCCGTGATGGATGTTTGGTGGTGGTGGCACGACCCTATGTGTGTGAGTGTGTGTGTGTGTGTGTGTATGTGTGTATGCGCGTGGGGGGAGGGGTCGAGGAGGATAGAGGGTACGCTCGCGCGCAGCACGTTTCTGGAAAGTTACGCGTATTTTTTTGTCTAGACAAAAGACAATAAATTTATTTATTCATTTGGAAACAATTCAATAATAATTTTGAAAAAGAAAACATTTTCTCAGTCCTGACATTTGGTATGTTCACCTGTAACGATAAAAGGATTTAATGCGATTTCATGGTTAGGTAAATGAAAATATGTACACTTTTAAAAATCTTACCGTCACTTAAGCAGGTGGGTCGTCTACATTGGCAGTATTCTGTTGTAACGACGGTGTAACTACATTATGGACACGCACAACGCGAATCTTACCGTACCTGTCGCGTTGGTCGTCCCTGCACTGTGGGCACGCATGCCCGCTCACACAAACTGACACGCGGGCGCTCTCGCACACACACACACGCACACCTACACACACACACACACACGCACACCTACACACACACACACACACGTACGCACCCTCACACACACACACACACACACACGCACACACACACACAGTCCTGCCACCACCACCATCAAACATTCATCACGGGTTCTTTTATATTTTGATAGTTTTCGGTTAAAATTTGACTTGTTTTAGCTTTTTTATACCAAAATTGGCCAAAATTGAATGATTTTCTGGGCTATTTGTCTTTTTTTATCCTAATTCTGATATAAACTAGCATTACTTGCAATTTGAAACCCGTCCGAGCGAC